TGAGCCTGGGTCACTCAGCACATTCTCTTCCCAGGAGGGTGACTGGCTGGCATGAACATTCACGGCAGGGAAGCTGGGTAGAACCTGGGCCTGGGTGTGGGCTGGAGCCATCTCACAGCCCAGTTTTCTTCCCACTCTGCCCTCAGCCCTGACAGCCCCAGCCCCATACAGGGCTACCTGGTTGACTAGTCTGCTCAGCCTCTATGTCAGACACCCCCACGGGCTTCCTCATCTCACCCTGCAGGGCAGACCCCACGGTGATTTTCCCAGTGCTTTCCCCAGGCCAGTTTTAGACTCTTCAATCAGGTCTCCTAGGAGATGTTTCAGAGTTTGGGGGAATTTTGTATTTTCATTTTAGTTTTGAGGGTTTTCTTGTTTACTATCCAGATAAATGTGCTCATCATGACCAGGTGCTCTGGCCTCAGTAACCCTTCCCTGAGAGGCTACTCATGTTTCAGGGGACCTCTTGTTAGAGGCTGTGATGAGAATGGCCATAAACTGGGGGGCTAAGATGCTCAGGTATTCTATCCCAGATGCTGTCATGTAGGTGACTTTTCTACCCCTAACCATAAAGTGTCAAGAGAGAGAGGACAGCAAGTCTAGGGACGCATTTAGTTTAAGAGTAGAAGATAACCTCATTGCATGGCCCACACGAGGTTGTGTGGAGAAGACTACCTTCTGCCGAAATATGGTCCTCTTGTCCTCCTCAGGCTCAAGCAGAGCTCTGTGTAGCCAGATGAAGCAAAGTTGTGCTGTGCCACAGACCCTGGAGGCTGGGGATAGGGGATGGCACTGCTGCTCATGCCATGGCTTGTGCCCAAAGGAATATTCCACAGATAATGGGCCATTGGCCAACCTAAGTCTAAAGACTGGCCAAGGTTCTTGCTCAGTGTAATGAAGTGACTGGTGACTGGATAGAACACAGCTCTAGAGTTACATAATCCAGAACCTGAAATCAACTCTTCCTTTTTGGGACTCAGATAGTTATTTGGCAGCTCTGTTCCTCCATCTGTGAAACAGGGATAATTACACCTGACCCAGAGTTAAGATTTCCAAGTTTGGTCCAGACTCTGCCTTGTAACATCACCAGCTCTGCCTTTTTTGTAAGGGCTTCTGTGAGGATCAGATAAGATATCGAATGTGAAGGCTTTTGAAAATGACTACAGAAAAGGCACTGTCGCCTGTTGTCTTCTGTCATCAGTCTGCCAACATCCTCTCATCATGGCTGGAGGAAGCAGTTGGGTGTAGCTGGGGTGGGAACTACACACCTTGTGTGCACTGTGCTGCTCCTCAGGTCCTGTGTCAGCTTCCTGTGGCTGCTGTAACAAAGTGCCATAAGGTTTGGTCACTGAAAACCACAGAAATTCATTTTCCCGCAGTTCTGGAGGGCAGAAATCTGAATTTACAGTCTTGGCCAGGCAGGGCCAGGCTCCCTATGAAGGCTCTATGGAAGAGTTTTTCCTTACCTCTTCCAGCTTCTGCTGGCCTCGTGTTGTTTGGATTGTGGCTGCACAGCTCTGTCTTGTCTTTACATGGCCATTTTCTTTGTATCTTTTCCTTTCCTTTTTTTTTTCTTTTTGAGACAGGCTCTTGCTCTGTCACCCAGGCTAGAATGCAGTGGTGTCATCATAGCTCACCATAGCCTCAAAGTCCTGGGCTTAAACAATCCTCCTGCCTCAGCCTCCTGAGTAGCTGGGACTACAGGCACCTGCCACAACATCTGGCTAGTATTTTTTAAAGTTTTTTTAGGGACAAGGTCTCACTATGTTACCCGGGCTGATCTCAAACCCTGGCCTCACTTGATCCACCCAACTCAGCCTCCCAAATTGCTGGGTTTACAGGTTTGAGTCACCATCCCTGGTCTCTCTGTGTCCTTTGCTATTTCTTATAAAGATACAGTGCTCTCATTTGTTTTAGGGGTCACCCTAATCTAGTCAGTATAATCTCATCTGATTCTTACCTTAATTACACCTGATAGATGTATTTCATCTGAAAGATGTATTTGGAATAGGGCTTATTTCAGAGAATATCACATTCTGAGGTTCAGGTAAATAAGACTTTTGGAGAGGTGGATTCTATTCAACCCACTAAGGGTCTCAGAACCTCCCTCCAAATCTTTTCTGATCCCCACTTAGGAACACTTTTGCTGAGCTTTAGATTGCGACAAAGAGTAAAACCCTTCAGACAGAGCCCAGGATGAGCTCCGGGTGTGTCTGAAGGATGAGCTCCGGGTGTGTCTGAAGGCTGAGCTCTAGGTGTGTCTGAAGGATGAGCTCTAGGTGTGTC